TTGGTTTCTGCAGCCCTACAATATATATATATATATATATATGTATTCCTGCTTTCTCCCATGTTGATTGTTCATGTGATGATTATATTCTCATCGATATATATATATATATGTAGGTACCAGTCGGACTTGTGCTACAACATTGCGCTGTGCTTTTTTCGGCTCAAACAATACGGCAACGCCATGCGCCAGATCGCTGAAATCATTGAAAAGGGCGTACGTATACATATATAATGAAAGACATATATGAATTTACATATATATATGCAATGAGAAACATACATGAATAGGTAGGTATATATATAATGAAATACGTACACGAATATATATATATATATATACATATTCAAGTGTGCCGTTCGCGCCACAGGAAACTACTCGAACATCACCATCCAATATACGAAGTATATATATACCCATATGTATATATATATACCCATATGTATATATATATATACCCATATGTATATATATATATATTCGCAGTTGACATGTGTTCTTTGCGGCAGAGAACTTCTACAGTACTCGTATTTCATTATACTTCGAAGTATATATATATATATATACTCTTTGAAACGTAGAGATCTCAAAAACACTTATACGATTCCTGAGTTGAATTGCTATTAGGTCCGGGACCATCCCGAGCTAAGCGTGGGCAGCAAAAGCGAGAGCAACTCGGACGTCAAGAGCGTGCGCAACTCGACCGTCCTGCGGGAAACCGCCCTCGTTGAAGCGTTCAACTTGAAGGCGGCGATCGAATACGACATGAAAAACTTCAAAGTCCGATATATTTATATATATATATATATATATATATATATAGTTATTTGATCCAACAACGATATATATATATATTTGATCCAACAACGATATATATATATATTTGATCCAACAACGATATATATATATATTTGATCCAACAACGATATATATATATTTGATTCAACAACGATATATATATATGATTCAACAATGATATATATATATATTTGATCCAACAACGATATATATATATATTTGATCCAACAACGATATATATATATATTTGACCCATACGAACCTATTGGCAGGGTTCGCGCGATGCCCTCCTGGACATGCCGCCTCGCGCCGAAGAAGAGCTTGACTCGGTAGGCACAGCACACATACATTAATTGGGACCGTTGAACCCATTTGAAGTTTGTATACCGTGTCTACAATCATTTGTGAGAAGTTGCGCAGCCACAATGGCTTGTTCTAAACGATATATTTAAATATATATATATTTTTATATGGCTTAGGTGTCGCTGCACAACTTTGGCCTGATGAACATGGACGTGGACCCGAACAGCGGGTTTAAAAAGCTCAACTTTTTGCTGCAAAACCCACCGTTCCCCGTCGAAACGTTTTCGAATCTGCTGGTACGTCCGTATCCGTACAGTGTATCCGTACACTAGTCGAATACTGGGATGGATTGATTGATGGGAATTTTAGATTCTGTACATGAAGCACGGATTCCACGACCTCATGGCGGACGTCCTAGCCGAAAACACGCACTTGACGTTTCAGTTGCTGTCCAAGGACTTTTTCGAGTTTGTCGATGCCAGTGTCACGGTCGGTACACCAAAACTAACGACATGCCCACTAGTTTGCAATGTATATATATATATATATTATATACATGGCCACTAGTCTGCTAAACTAACGACATGGCCACTAGTTTGCAATGTATATATATATATATATTATATACATGGCCACTAGTCTGCTAAACTAACGACATGGCCACTAGTGTGCAATGTATATATATATATATATATATATATGGCCACTAGTCTGCTAAACTAACGACATGGCCACTAGTGTGCAATGTATATATATATATATATATGACGATGTATATTTTATTGCAAGGAGAGTAGAGGGGGTAATCCATCACACGTTTTTTACTCGATGGTGTAGCTGCAAACGTCCCCCGAGGAAGCGTATCGCAAGTACGACGACCTCGCCACCAAGCACGTGGACGTCCTGCGTAAACTCACGCAGAAGATCCAGGCGGCGCGTATTGCCCAATCGAATGACGAGATTAAACTCTCGCTCAAGGCGTACGACGACGCGCTCGAAGACTTTATGCC